TCCTTAATTATAACAGACGCATCTAATGAATGGATTAACATGGACCTGACAGTCTACACCTTATCATCTGAGTTAGCCTTAATATAGAAGTTAAAGGACACTGCGATGGTTCTATTTAGCCTTCTTCTTCTGAGGCCTTTGATGTGCATGGATGTGCAGCATTAAACAGGCTCTGCTCCAGATCAGTGAACTTTGAATCAAGTTGCTCACTTGGCTATTGCTTCACTTGGTTGCACAGTCTCCTTCAGTTGACCCTCTGTTAATTATATGGAAATGCTAATAATTAGTCTTTGTATATAACTAAGAAATCGTTCAATGTTCTGGCTAATATTGGAATGTTGGCAATCACTCCAGGAGTCTGTTTGGCACAACTGCATGTTCATAAACAATAAATAGCAACAGGCAAGTGTAATTATATCTACAACAATATTAGTGACTGCACAATGAGCAACAGAGTGTCCAAATCCATTCATTTTCTTTTACATGCAGAAATGACTTGGCTGTCACTCTCACTGAAGCCTTTGTGATGGATGGACTTACAGGTATAGCTGGGCATGTATGGCAGGTTGCCATAAACTCATGGGAGAGCAGCAACAGCACCAGTTTAGAATCAACATTTACGAGCAGGAAACATGGAGCTGAACATCTGATTCAGAGAGGAGTTGATAACAGGACATAATGTTGAAATTTCACGAACTGTTCTTTAGGATTTCTATACGACTGTCAGAATAAAATTAATATTTGATTATTTGTATCTGTTCAAAGGCGTAAACTATCCCCAAATTCAAACTACAGTCAAATCTGCCTTCAACCACCATTCAGGGGACTGGACCAAAGTGGCCTTTATATGAGGGTGGTCTCTGAGAAAGGGTTCGTTGGTGTGCTTTCTGCATGTCTCCCATGCCCTCCGCTCCTCCATCGGGGGCCGCGCTTTCAGCCACTACGCTCCGAAATCCTGGATCACTCTTCCTCTAGCCCTCCACCTTGTCCCCTCCTTCCCCATCTTCAGATCATGCCTCAAGACCTTCCTCTTCGACTGTGCCTACAGGCTCCCCCTCCCCCCGGCTCTGCTTCATGCTCCACCTCTGTCAAGCGCTCTGGGACGCTACCCTGCGTGAGGGGGCGCTATATAAATGCAAGTTGTTGTTGTTGTGTGAACCAGGCTGTGCTAAGGTAATTGCTTGAACAGATTTGACTGAAACTGTTATGAATAATGGTGTCACTCTTGGTTCAGTGACAATCTTTAATGGAATGTGGTTATCAATATTTCAGCAGCGATGTAAGAATCATATTCGCAGATGAAGTAACTTATGTTGTACTTTACTGTAGGTATAATATAAAAGGATTGAATAAGTAAAACAGGTAAAAGCTGTAGAAGCTACCAGAATGATATCTTTGGAAAGTTTACTGGTAAAATAACACTGAAGATCATAATTAGAGAGTTAGAAACAATTAAGTTTTTTTTGGTGTGTTATCACGTCAATCCTTCTCAAAGTGCTTCATGGGTAATTCTCCCTCTCTAGACAAATTCTGAAGTCGTTTCCACCAGCAGAGGTCTCAATGATCAATTAATCTGGAGGATTGTTGTCCAGGATACTGGAAACATTCCCTTCTCTTTTCATCAGATATTATCACGCTTTCAGCCACTATGCCCTGAAACTCTGGACCACTCTCCCTCAACCTCTCCGCCTTGCCCCCTCTCTCCCATTTTTGAAGTCCTGCCTGAAAACCTTCCTCTTCGATCATGCTTATGGCCACCTCCCCGCCCCCCACCTTCCTGGCTCGGAATCAGGCTCTGCCACTGTTAAGCGCTCTGAGACGATACCCTGCATGGAGGGCGCTATATAAGTGAAAGTTGTTGTTGTTGTTGTTGCTGTATGGGAGCTTTAATGTCCACCTGCAGATGGGACCTCAATTTGATATCTGATGTGAAAGATGGCCCCTTACAATAGTGCTTTGTCCGCACTGCTCACTGAGCTCTTCTGTCTTCCTGTTTCCCAGCAGATCCACTTCAAGATCCTCACTCACACCTATAAACCCCAACATGCTTTTACCTCTGTGAAGCTTCCAGCCTCACTCTGTTGTCCAGCCCCTTTGCTGAGGAAACCTTGAGCTGTTGTGTGTTCCTCGCCCTCTCTGACCCACCTTGTGCCGCCAAGCCATCAGCCATTAACTTCCCCACTGTCTGGAATTTCCTCTCTAAATCCCTCCTCTCTGTCTGTCACCCCCTCCCTTCCATCTGTTTCAAAACGCCCCTGAAAATCTACCTGTTTGATGGGTCAATCCCCCCCTCTCTTGTCCTCCCTGCTCAGGGTCCAACACTGTTCCCATAAAGTGCTTCAAGCCATTACCCTGCCCTGGTGAAGAGCACGACATACAAATAAGTTCTTGTTGCTGTTGAAATAATGATTTACTTTTTTTTAAAAAAATATGATTTACCACCCGCCCCCACCCTCCCCCCCATTTCCCATTCCCACTGAAAGGTCACCATGAAATGTACAAAAGTTCTTTATGAAATCCATTTGCCAGAACTTGGCACTGGCAGAGAACGACAGAATGAAGCTTTTATTGAGTTTGATATTCGGGGAGCAATGATCGGTCAATTCAGACGGTTCAGTAAACCATTAACTACTTAGCTGTCGTCAGCGTTCTATTTTCAGTAAAACATTATTGTGATATTGTGGTCATTGGGGGAACGTTATGATGTTTCTTTGTCTATTACGAGAACCAAAGTAAAACACAGAATATCACAAAGTACGCACATTGCTTACATTTTTTATAAATGTAACGCTTCCCGAGGAGAGTTGAATAGAGGACAAAAACCATAGAAGTCTACTTTAAAAGTAGGAGGCCATTTGGCCCATTTTTTCATGTCTACAATTGCTTCTCCTAAAAGCCATCCATCCTAATCCCAATCCTCTGCTCGTTCCATGTACCGTCTACTATCCTCCTCTGAGTTTGCTGGTCCAAATTGTTAATAGATATCCCCAGTTGACAGCTGTAACAGCCACAGTCTAACAAACCTTTCAGAGAAGTTCTTCCAAACTTCTTTTCCTCCCCCGTCACAATCTTGAATTCCTCCTCTTGTCCTCTTATCCCCTACCAGTGGAAAGAGCTTTTTATGATTAATTTTCTCAAACTTTTTAACTATCTTATCTTTCATTATCAATACCTCTATCATCTCATCCCTCAATCTTCTCTACACCAATGGCAAGAGTTCTAACCTCTCCTCTTAGCTTCTCATTACAAGAGAGATGAAGGTTTACATTTTTAGTTCATAGACAAAATGTTTTCTTTACATTTTACAACGCGTTTGCTAATTATTGAAGCATAGTAAGCACTTTGACAAGTTGACAAGTCCACCACATGCATATTGATATCTGTGCATCAACAATGTGATGATAATAATCCTTGCATTTGATGCCTTTGTTCCAACGCTGTGCTTTGCGGTGTACTCTTTAGATATTTTATTCGGAATGAATTATTCTGCTTGTTCTCAACTCTACAATTGTGTAATGTGGCAGTGCTGGAATTTGCAATGTGGGCTGTGTTTATAGGACCTTGTACAGTAAATACGTAAATGGAAGCTCGTCTATAAAATTAGTAGGAACATAAAAGTTTGATTATAGAATAATAAAGTATCCACTTCACATCATTTATTTGCTTTTGCCTTCACACTAGAGATGAAACAATCATAGAATATTACAGAAGGACACAAGCCATTCAGCTCAGTAGTGTCAGGGGGTGTGATACAGGGAAGACAACAGATTGCTGAGGGGGAGAAACAGGGATTAGTGTTGATTCTATGGCAGATTTGATAATAATAATAATAATAATAATATTATAGATTTGATAATAGCTTTAAAAAGGGAATTGGATAAGTGCTTGAAGGGGTGGAGAAGGGAAAGTGATCGGAAGCACAGTCAACGAGAGCCTTGATGAGGGGAGGGAGTCAGCAAATTGAAGAAACTGGAGGATACGGTCTGAAATTTACAGCCTGAAAGGGTCGGTGGAAACAGATTCCATAACAACTTTCAAAAGGGGATTGGATAGGTACTTGAAAAGGATATAATTGCTGGGATATGGGGAAAGAGTGGGGGAGTGGCCCAGTTGGGTAGCTCTTCGAAAGAGCCATCACAGGCACGATGGGCCGAATGGCCTCCTTCTTTCTGTAATGTTCTATGATTCTATGATGGAGTTCCAGAGGACAGGGGCAGAATGGCTGAAAGCAGATAGGGTTGGATTCACTGAGCGAATAGAGCAGCCAGGTCAGTACAACAACAGCAACAACAAGATTCCATTTATAGAGCACCTTTCACGTCGGGAGGACAGTAGGGCTGAAAGAGGTTGCAGAGAGGGGGGAGAGAGAGACCATGGAGGGATTTTGAGCTTTCCCACAATCTCGGAACTGTGGCAATTCTTCCCTTCTGCTGTCTCCCTCCTCATACAATAAACAGGCTTTTAAAAGCCAAATTTGGCATTTACTAACTGCTACATGTTATTTTATCTTGTTCCTCTCTTCATCCTCAGTGAGGTACCGCGTGTAAGCTTTCACATGTCTGACAGGATTTTGATGATTGGATTTAAAAACAATGCTGAATATATCAGGCAGTTCAGTAATAAGCCACTCACACATGCATTATTATTCAATGTGTCAGCAACAGTGAATTATTATGTTGGACACAAGAAACAAAAAAAACTATCAAAAAACTATTTTATTACACTGCGATAAATATCACACATTTCTGCTGAAACTCATTAACCTGAACTCGTTTTTAATTATTTTACCTGAACTGTGAAAACCTGCAGCCCTGAAAGCTGTTCAGATACGCTCAGAGAAAAAGAGTCATGTAAAGTACATGTTTTGTGTGTGTGAATTGATCAGGTCGCTGGCAAAAAGCTAACATTATGGCCTGAAACATCGAACTGTTGGTACAGGAGGAACAGATGTTACTCAGTGTTTGCTCACCTTTTCTCTATCTCTCTCTCTCTCCATATAGTTCACTGGTGTTATGATTCACAGAGCCAGTCATGTGGTAAGTACTCATCATTACCCGTCTCATTGAACTGTTCTTGTTTGCCCACACTGATGTTTGTCTTTCTCAAGCTGTACCTTATGTTATTGCAGAGACTGAAACACATTTCTTGTACATCACACAAGCCGAGCATTAGGTTTTAGTCGGCCAAGTCTCTGAAACATGCAGAAACCCATCATCGTGCTCAAGAGTATCCAAACCAGACAGACTTCTCATAAGCGAGAAGACCTGGGTTCGATTCCCGGCAGGGCAAAATGTTGCGCAAGTGCAAGAGAGGACACAAGCTGCAAAGTTCTGGATTATCTGCAGCCTGTGGAGGGAAGAGTTGGGGAGGCCGACAAGCAGGAAGTTGGCTTAGTTGAGCCTAGATGTAATGAAGGCGTGTATGAGGGTCTCGGGGGCCTGAGGTGTGAGGCAGTGGCGGAGCCGGGCAATGTTGCGGAGGTGGGGGAAGGCAGAGCGGGTCATGACACAGATGTGGGGTAGAAAGGACAGGTGAAGGTCAAACAAGACGCCAAGATTCTGGACTGGCTCAGTGAGGTGGAGAGTGCAACCGTGGATAGTGATGTTGCTAGTGCCTGAGGTGTGGAGGCGCTGGAATCAGTTACGTCCTACAGTCAGAACAATTTTGATCAACATGAACCTTACTGTGAGATGACAGCTTTATATATCTTACTGCCTGTAGCTCAGTGGTTAGAGCACTCACAAGCAAGAGTACCTGGGTTCAATTCCCAGGCAGGGCGAAACGTTGGACAAGTTTCCTTAGTCCACACGCCTCTGTTCACCTAGTAGGCAGTAGGAACCGTACTGTTAGTAGATTGGCAGATTCAAAATAATAAAAAAAAGAATTTGGTCCCTCAACCCACGACTGTTTGTGGGACGCTGCTGTGTGCAATTGGCTGCCGCATTTTGCCCACAAAGTATACAATCGATTCACTTTACGGTATATTCTGTGAAGCGCTTCGAAGATGTGATAAGGCGCTATATCAAATCCAAGGATAAGTATTATTATTATTATTTATTTAGGTCTCTGAACGTCCAATCAAAGTCAGTGTGTGTGTGTAACCAGAGTAATACTGAACTGAGTGATTTTTTATGAAAAATAGCTTTTACATTAGAAGGAACTTTACATGACTGATGCTCTACACATTTACCGGTTTTGTTTTACAGTAAATTTTATTAAGTAAGAAGGTTAAACATTCTACTACAGTAATTACAGAACAGTAACTTATCACTTATTTGCTAATGGGCTGAGGAAGAGTGCTGTGTGCTCAGCCACCATCAATGAACTTTGGCAAATGTAATAAAATCTTTGGGTCACGATCTTATGATCAAAATTCTCCATTTACAGCAATAACAACAAAAAGCTGCACATTTATAGCATGTTTTGGAGCTAAACATCTCGAAAGTGCTTCACAGAGACTACGTTGAAAGTTCAAGCAGGGAGGGAGGGAGGGAGACAGAGAGGAGGAGGGAAATGATTGAAGGTTCAGTCAAAGAGGTAGGTTTTTATAATGGTTTTGGAAGCAGAGAGGGGAGATGCAAAACAAAGGGATTTAGGGAGAAAGTTGCAGAGGGTTTGGACAGAATGGCTGTCCACCGATATTGGGGTGAATACGATTGAGGACATGCCTAAGTTAGCAGAGAACCCTTTACTTTCACTCTTTGTGGATGTTTTTTGAAATTCAAATTCTTGTCCTCATTTTCAAATGCCCCCATGTCCTTGCTCAACCCTATACTACCCCTGTTCAGCAACCACCAACCTACTTCAAGCCCACCTCTGCCCACTGCCTACCTTCAACGGATGAGCCTTTAGCTATTCTCTCATGATCTCCATCCCAGAGCACTTCCCTCCCTCCTTTCCCACCTTCAAGACGTGTCTCTAAGACCACATTTTCAACCACCTCCTGTCCCCCCCAACTCTCCCCTAGCTTGGCTCCCAGCCATGTACTCGATAAATATAAGCACTTGTTTTCAGTGGTCACCTCTGTACTTATCTTTTGACAATACGTAAGTTAAGCAATAAGTCCAGTAGCAGCTAAACAGCTTCTCATTAACTCATTACACGATTTTATCAACTTTCTCCCCATTTACTTTTCTCTTTTTCTACTGAAGACCCTGACATTTGCCTCTTACATCAGGACTCCACCGTTGATGTTTGAAAAATCTGTAGATTGTGGGATTAGCCTTTAATCACAGGATGGAAACCTGAATGAATAGCATTTATCTGACAATTCCATGGGGAATTCATTGGTCCATAATAATTCTGGTAGCCAATGAGCAGCACAGATTCACTGTCATGGTGTGATCAGATCCCCAGATGTCATATTCAAATCAGATGGTGTTTTGGTCAGATCATACCTACAGAGGCCTGGCTCGATTCCGACATTCTGTTGCCAGGCATGTCACCCTGGAGCCAGTTCAGCTCCAAGGAGACCCCGGTTACCTCCCCCTCAAGGAGGATAGTCACCAGTTGGTTGTTTGACTCCGACAAGGCCAGTTTGAGCCTCACTTGGTGGATGGCAGGTACCAGGAACTCCCTGTGAGCTTCCCGGTGGGCAACACAGCTCACCATGAAATGTGTGAGAGCATTGCCACCATCTTCCTGTCCGCAGCTCAGGCACACGTCCCTTCCCATTGAGCGATGGTTTCACCAGTTGGAGGTGTGGAGTTTAAGCAGCTGCTGGCCTCTCTGCAGCCAATCAAGGTGGGCTCCAGGCACTGGACGTACGAACGTGTGTCACAAACTCGGACACCAGGTAACACCTTCCAGCAGCTTTCCTCTCGCTGACATCAAACAGGTCTTGGTACTAAGGATTCTGATAGATGGGGTAACAGGATTGAGCTGTTGTATATTGTATATATTTCCTGAAGCAAGATAAGAATGGAAAAGCTCTCACATTCATTAATTTGGGGTCAGTGAAGCAGAACCACATCATGACTGAACCTAATATATAAGACCCTATGTAGCTGGAGGTACCTTAGTGTGCAGTACTTCCTGTCATCACATCAATTGGGGGGAGGGGGAGTTGTTAAATGTACTTTTCTTTGCCACATTTAGAATTTATTGGTGAAATTTAATTGTAAGCGCCTGAAGGTTGCTCCTTCACAATGCCATCTCGTCATGGGAAAACAATCACAGGTTAACTATGGCCTAACCACCCAGAGGTAATGATAAACCGTTGGCATGTTACTTTCATGTTCTAGCTGGAGTACGATAAGCTATGAAAACAATAATCATTATTTAAGAAGAGCTTTCTTCTGATGTTGTCATCTAAAAGCCCAGCAAAAAGCAGCCGTGTCAATGTTTCAATCCTTGGCTTTCAATTAGTTAATAAAACACGAGAATGGACAACAGGAGCTCAGGGAAAGAAATCAGGTAACGAAAACAGTTTAAACATCTATCCCATTAAAGTCATTAGGCTGACTCTATAAAGACTCCAGGCTGAGTGGGAGTCCGGGATGTCCTGTGTTGTTGGAGGTGCTGTCCTTTGAATGAGACATTAAACCGAGGCCCTATTTGCCCGTTCAGACAACAACAACAACTTGCACTTATATATCACCCTCCACACAGGGTAGCGTCTCAGAGCACTTAACAATGGCGGAGTTTGACTCCGGGGGGAGCCGGGGGGAGGGGGGAGGTGGCCGTAAGCACAGACAATGAGGAAAGTTTTCAGGCGGGACTTGAAAGAGGGGAGGGAGGGGGCAAGGGGGAGGGATTGAGGGAGAGTGTTCCAGAGTTTGAGGTGTAGTGGCTGAAAGCGCGACCTCCGATGATGGGGCGGAAGGTGTGAGGGACGAGCAGGAGCCGGTGCCAGTCGAGTGGAGGCGCCGGGTGGTGGGTTGGGGAGTGAGGAAGTGGGAGAGGGAGGGAGGGGCCAGGGAGGGGAGGGATTTGAACATGAGAGTGAGGATCTTGAAGTCGATCTGTTTGGTGATGGGGAGCCACTGAAGCCTGGGCCAGAGCTGGTGAGATGTGGGCGTGGAGTTTGGGCGGTATGTGGGTGTCAGTATGGGGGCGGCAGAGTCTGAATGAGCTGATCTTGTGAATGGTGGAGTTGGGGAGACCGGCGAGGAGTGCGTTGGAGTAATCCAGGCGGGAGGTGACAAACACATGCACGAGGGTTTCGGCTGCATTTGGGGTAACATACAGTCAGAGGCGGGCAATGTGGTGGAGGTGGAAGAAGGTGATTCTGATCAGGGACCGGATGTGGGGGAGGAAGGATAGCTGGGGGTCGAACGGGCGCCTAGGTTGCGCACTGGTTCGGTGAGTCTGAGGAGGAGCCTGGGGTGGTTGAGGAGTTTAGATCCACAGGAGTGAAGGGGTTGACGGGAACCAAGGAATATGGCTTCTGTCTTGTCCATATTCAGCTGCAGGAAGTTTACACTCATCCAGACCCTGATGTCTGCCAGACAAGCTGATAGAACATCGGGGGGAGCTGGTGCTGGAGGCAAAGTAGATTTGTGTGTCATCCTCTCACATGTGGGAGTTTACCCCGTGTCTGTGGATGACATGACCTAGAGGGAGCATATAGATAAGGAAAAGAAGAGGCCAAGGATAGAGCCCTGGGGAACCCCACAGGTGGCCGGGCGGGAGGAGAAACCATTTGCTGAGATGGAAATGAGGCAGTTGGTTAAATAGGACTCGAACCATGTGAGTGCAGACATTGGAGCCAACAAGCAGGGAAAGCTAGAGTAACTGTTCCATGAGCTTTTGGGGTGTGGAGGAGGGGTGGCACGGTTTTTGTTTTATTTTCATCGTGTACCGGCCCATTGCCAAGCAGGAGCTGTTGCCTCAGCATTGTCGCTCCCACATCTCAACCGTGACCTCCTGGACTTTTGCGGTTACGATGCTGTTGATCACAGGGTTGTCATGATGCGATGAGAATGCGAAACACAAGCGTGATACAGGCAGTGCCTGCCCGGCCTACACACAGTCACACAGCCACAACCTCGGTCAATTCAAGGCAAAAAACAATATTCCACAGTATAAATGCTGG